GGTTGGTCGGACGGACGGTTGGACGGACGGGCGGACGGACGGAATGACTGACTGACAGACGGCCGGCCACCCAGTCGCCCGGTCAAGCAGTCGCCCGGTCGGTCTGTCGGGCGGGCGGCCAGGCGGTTGGGCGGCCAGGCGGTCGGCCCGTCGGGCGATCGGTCCCTCAGGCGCCCAGGCGGTCGTTCCGTCGGGCGGCCCGGCGGTCGGTGCGTCGGTGCGTCTGTGTGTGTGTGTGATGTTATCGCTATTCTGGCTGATTGAATTGAGTTTGTTTTACGGCTGTGCTGAACGAGTTGCACTGGGCTTATGTGCTTGTTTTGCAAGGGTTCGGAACAGGATGGTCTTAATTTTTCACCGGTATAGAACGGCCACTTGTCATGGCAGGAGGATTTGGGGGCGTCTTTCAGTCCACATGCAGCAATAATGACCAGGCGTTCTTTCTTCTTTTCCTAAAGGACGCAACGTCCTTTAGGAAACTGACCATCCCCATACTTCAGAGTTGTTTTCTCTCATCTGATTGTCCAATGTCAGCTTTGCTGAAGCTCGGGGCGTGCTCGCACTGGCAGGACTTCTGCAAAATCCTGGAAGTGATTGCAGTCAGATTCATGGAGTTTGGCCGTCATTGCTGTTGTATACGTTTTGCATCTTCACTCACACAGGTAGGAGTTTTCCTGCTAAATTCTGCAGGTGAGTACAGTCAAATTTATCGAGTGCAGCCATAACTGCAGCCAGATACATTTAGGAAAGCGCTAGTGGGGGTACACCCCCATACGCCCCTCCTTCCCGGCAATGTTAAAGTTGTGGAAGCTCAGTGCGTACTAGCACTGGGATGTTATCTGCCAATTTCCATAACGGCGGGCAGATGCATTTTAGAAAGTGTGACTGTGAGTGTGCCCTGTGAGTTGGCATACCCATGAATTCTTGAAGAGCTCGAACAGAGAGGACTCGCCCTCCCCTGGTGCAGACTTTGCTCCAGTGCATTCCCATCAAGGAAGAAATCAGAAACAATAGAGCACATCTTTCTACGATGCCCCGGAGCGGCTTGGCTCTGGCAATGGTGGGATAGGGTCTGGGATCAGCTTGGAATAGGGGCACACTGGCCATCGGACTGGAAAGCCTTGCTGTTTGAGAGATGACCCACCGAACGGCCTGACGACTTCACTCTCAACATGTTCAAACTGGGATGCAGAGTAATTTTTCATATTTTTGAATCATCATTCTAATTAGCATCATTAATCAGTGTCATTAGTATCATCATGGTCATCATTAGCGGTTTCCGTATGTTCATTCCGGGCAGACTGTGAGGACCCCGGCCTCAATCTTATTATTGGTAATATCAGCCTTGGGCACTGGGCCCGGTTTAAAAAAAAAAAAGAAAAAAAAAGGGCAGTACTATGGGCACTCCGGAGAGGCCGTTGCATCTATATGAGATGGAAGGCGTGAGGTTGGGAAGGCCAGAATTTACGGAGAGTATACAACAACAGATTCGTCCAAACATAACAACACTGGGAGGAAGTCAAGTCACAAATCAGACACGTACACACACTGAACGAAATAAAGCAAAGGATACAATAATTCTGCAAAAGCTAGCTTGGGGGGGAAACAGGGGGCAGGATAGGGGGACAAGGGAGGATGGAGGACAACAAGGGGATAACCAGAGACTACAGACTCCTCTTCACGACTGGACCAAGCTGGGCGACTCAATCCCAATGCGACCGAGTGATGAATTTCCGGAATTCTTCCCCCCCCCGCTCTCAACAGCCTGGTAGGAATAGCATGGTATGGGGGAGAGAGATGAAAAAGATGCCCCCAAAGCAAGACTGACTGGCAGCGGGGGAGGAAGACAGGCCTGAGGGTTAAACCACCAGTACCTCTCCCTGCTAGAAGATTTCGACGCGGCCGTTAACGCGCCGCGTCGTTCGGGGTACCCACGGCCGTGCGACCGGTAGTCCCCAAAAAATGGGGCCAACAACAACAAAAAAAAACCGACGACGAAAATGAAAAACAAACAGGCGCGTGGGGTGGGGGAAGGGGGGGAAGAACAAGAGAGAGAGAGAGAGAGGGCGTCAGCCAGTGTCTGACGCCGAGTTTCGTGCACCAAACTGGCGTTATCGCGGAAGATTCATTCTCGTTTTGATGAGAGAGAGAGAGAGAGAGAGAGAGAGAGAGAGAGAGAGAGAGAGAGAGAGAGAGAGAGAGAG